TTCCATCCCCCCCCCCCCCAGCTGTTTGCATTTCCTAGGACGCAGAATCTGCCAGCATTCGGGGGGCTGCTCAGATACAGCCTCAATGGGGCACCCACTCAACACACCTCAGGACAGTTACAGTGTGAGACAGGCCGCAGGTTACAACACATCACAGCAATGTGAACTGGTCCCTGATAGTGCTTCAATATGTGTGACAACAGCACCTAAGGGCCCTTTGTGCTCAGCCTTGCTGTGCACACAGTCCCTGCTCCAAACCACTTACAATCTGGGGCCAGCAGCATCAGCCAGAGGAAACTAACTCCATGAAATTCAACAGAAGTACAGCACTTTAAATCAGCGGCATAGCTGGAGCTGAGATGTCACTAGGATACAAGACCCTACCACGTGTTAGGAGACGCTGAGATCCAGTCAGATGCTGGATTTATCACTTGCCTTCTTTTTCTTTTCTTTTTTAAAAGTTTACACTGGAAAGGGTTGATGCTATTGCTAGTTAATGCTAATTAGTCCCTCCCATCCCCTTCCTGCCCCTAATTTGGAATCCCTCCAGCTCACCTCCCCCCCTCCAACTATTTCCCTAAGTGCATTTAGCCTCCTTCTGTTGGATCCGATCCCAGAGGAAAATACAACTCTCTGACCTTAGCATCTGCAACGCATGTCAGCCCTGTGATCCGCGGACACAACGCCCTGGGAGGCGGGTCAGAGTCAGATGGCCTTGCACAGCGGGTAGATGATTGGCACATTCTCCATGTCTCCTCCGGAGTCCACAAATGCCCACATGCCTCGGGACCTGAGCCTGCACAAATACCTCCTTCGCCAAAGGCCGCTCCCTGCGTCGGATGGGAAAGCTGCTTTGCTACACTCAGATGAGCGACCCCGGCCCCCACTAACCAATCAACCGGATCCAACAAGGAGGCTCTTGTGCTGCAGCTCTACAAAGCGTCCCTCTGTCTGCAGCGCTGGGCTGGCATGGCGGGACCCCCGGAAACGCTAGTTCTGCACCTGCAAGGGGAGCCCTGGGGGCTCTGCAGGTGAAGGGTCCCATGGCCCAGGGCCCTTTCGGCGTGTGGTCTGTCTGTAACGGGAAAGGGGGGCTACGGCACCAGGGTCTGAACCGGCCTGTCGGGGAGCGTGGCGCCTGCGTGTCTGCATCCGTCCCTGGAGAGGGCAGCTGGCGATGGACCCAGTGATGCAGCAGTGTGACCCGAGGCGGATCCCACCGCAGGGCTGCCAGCCCCAAGACACCCAACTACTGGGATTCCAGCAGAGACCCCGTCCCGACCGCCTGTAGCACAGAACACACCCCCTGAAGCACCACGGCGCCACCACGAGGGGCAGCTAGTCCTGGAACTGCCAGGGTCCCCCGGGTGGAGGTGGCCAGCGCTATCCTGTGTCTGCGTCCAATCCGGGGCTGCCACCTCTGTATGGTGTGGGGGGTGTGAGAGCCACGGGCATAAACCCAGATAGTCCAGCACCTGCTGTGAGAGCCTAGGACACTGCTGTACAGGACAATGCCTCTGTCGGCAGGGACCCGCCTAGAACACGGCAAGCGCCCCTCTGTCGGCAGGGGCCCGCCTAGAACACGGCAAGCGCCCCTCTGTCGGCAGGGGCCCGCCTAGAACACGGCAAGCGCCCCTCTGTCGGCAGGGGCCCGCCTAGAACACGGCAAGCGCCCCTCTGTCGGCAGGGGCCCGCCTAGAACACGGCAAGCGCCCCTCTGTCGGCAGGGGCCCGCCTAGAACACGGCAAGCGCCCCTCTGTCGGCAGGGGCCCGCCTAGAACACGGCAAGCGCCCCTCTGTCGGCAGGGGCCCGCCTAGAACACGGCAAGCGCCCCTCTGTCGGCAGGGGCCCGCCTAGAACACGGCAAGCGCCCCTCTGTCGGCAGGGGCCCGCCTAGAACACGGCAAGCGCCCCTCTGTCGGCAGGGGCCCGCCTAGAACACGGCAAGCGCCCCTCTGTCGGCAGGGGCCCGCCTAGAACACGGCAAGCGCCCCTCTGTCGGCAGGGGCCCGCCTAGAACACGGCAAGCGCCCCTCTGTCGGCAGGGGCCCGCCTAGAACACGGCAAGCGCCCCTCTGTCGGCAGGGGCCCGCCTAGAACACGGCAAGCGCCCCTCTGTCGGCAGGGGCCCGCCTAGAACACGGCAAGCGCCCCTCTGTCGGCAGGGGCCCGCCTAGAACACGGCAAGCGCCCCTCTGTCGGCAGGGGCCCGCCTAGAACACGGCAAGCGCCCCTCTGTCGGCAGGGGCCCGCCTAGAACACGGCAAGCGCCCCTCTGTCGGCAGGGGCCCGCCTAGAACACGGCAAGCGCCCCTCTGTCGGCAGGGGCCCGCCTAGAACACGGCAAGCGCCCCTCTGTCGGCAGGGGCCCGCCTAGAACACGGCAAGCGCCCCTCTGTCGGCAGGGGCCCGCCTAGAACACGGCAAGCGCCCCTCTGTCGGCAGGGGCCCGCCTAGAACACGGCAAGCGCCCCTCTCTCGGCAGGGACCCGCCTAGAACACGGCAAACCCCTCCACTGGCACGGACATGCCTGTGACACCACAAGCATCTCCGAGGCAGCTTGTCCCAAGATGCGCATTGGCTCATTAGTTTCGCTTTAAAAATCCAACAACTGGAATGCTCCCCACAATTTCCTCAGCAGCCAATCATGGTTCCCAAAACATCGCGCTCTGGCTGCACAACCCCCCCCCCCCCCCAAATCTCTGAGCGCAAGCGTGCTTGGATGCGTCTGGTTTGGAGGAAGGTCTCGCAGTCATGAGCTCTCCTCTCAGACTCCAGCAGGGCAGTTTTAAGGCTATGTATTGTAAGGCGACTTTACTGGCTCACAATCTGCAGTACTTCCCCAAACAACGCCAAAGCCACAGCCTCTGGGGATGTCTCCAACGACGTCTTGAAGGCTGAGACCCAGGCAGGACCGTGGGGAAGAGGTGGGGAGAAAGCCACGCTTCTATTCTGGGCTTCAAAAAGCGTTCCCAGCTGAGATTCAGCTACCCACCCTCCTCCCCAGAATCTCTCCCCTCCTGTATTTACATCAGAAATTAGTATCTTTCTTTTTAAAAAACCACCAAAAACCAACCAAGCAAAGACTGCTCAGTGTCGGAATTATTTCTGTTAAAACCTCAGCTAGAAAAACCCCCTGGAAACTCCCCCGTGGCATTTTCAAGCCACATTTCCAGGTGAGAAGGAGAATACAGTTAAATAAATAGCAGGGCATTGCTTTGCTCTCTCCCCCTTGCGCTCTCCTCTCTCGTTTCCCGATGTACAGGTAATTTACAGTTTGAGTCTGACTCCCCGGGGCTCTGGACAATCATCCAGAGAGCTGATTGTCCTGTAGAGCCTCCAAACTCTCCACTACATCTTCCAGGTCGTCCAGCAGCTCGGAGAAAGAGGGCCTCTTGAACGCTTCCACCTGAAAGGGGGAGGAGAGAGGGGCTGAAGGGATTTCCCTGCTGGGAGGGGCATGGGAAAGAGGGATGTTCCTCCCCCAGGTGCTGCAAGCTAAGGCCAGTGGGACATCAAAGCTGAGCAGGGCCTTGACCCTGCATGGTGCGCGCAGCAAGGGGGCACTGTGCTCACAGGGAGTGTGCGCGGAAGCAGCAGATGCTGAGTGCTGGGAGGCCTGGGACTTACCTGCAAGGCAGTGGGATCCAAAAGGAGGAAGGCGCGAGGGTGTCGGAGATGTGGACACCACCACGCCCCTCCGGCCCAGCCACGCCGCCCCTCCCCGGAGTAACTTCTTACGGCTCCAGGACCAAGCCCCTTGCTCCTCCATTCTGCCCTGAGCGTGTCTGCATGGTGCCCCGCATCTCTCTGCAGGATCCAGTCCCTGGGCTCAGCTGGCCTTGCAGGGACTGCAGACTGCACCTGTCTGTAATGGGAGCTACTGCCCCCCCGGCTCTCAGAGGGGAACTCCGCTCCCCCCTCCACTCCCCTGCAGCCCGCTGCCCCACGAACCTGGCGCGCCAAAGGAGCTGCAGAGCCCCAGGGCAGGGCACAGGGGACGTTCCAAGCTGGCGCCAGGAAGAGTGGCCGGAGAGGGGCTGCATGCCGGTAACGCTGTGCCCCTGCCATCACAGAGGTGAGTGAACTGGGCTTTCGCGGCACCCAAAGAGGGCTGAGCAAACGGCCTCCCCTCTGCATGGAGCGGAATTGGGCCAGGCGTGTTGCTAGGGCTGAAATTCTCCGTGCACAAAAACCCAGATCCGCACAGATATTTAGGCACCTAACTCTCATTTAAACCAATGGGAGTTAGGCGCCTAGTACTTTTGAGTATCTGGACCAGCATCCAACCCAGAATGTGCAGGGTTTTAAGGGGAGATTTTCAAAGCCACAAAGCGAGCAAGTGCCCAGCTCCTTTCAGTGGGAGTCGAGTGTCTTTGTGCCTTTGAAAAGGTCCCCCCGCCCCCAATTCCTCCTGACACATCTCGACCCGGGCAGGCCTGGCCATGGCAGGCACGTTCCATCCTCCCGGAGACCGTGCCCGGCTTCTCCCGTTGCCACGGGGAGCAGCACGAGGCCTGCGGGAAGACCCTCCACCTTGTATGACTCACGCCAGTTCTCCGCAAGCCGCTCAATCACCAGCCCCTCCCCCCCTCGGCTCTAGGCGCGTGACTCCCACTCTGATTCACGGTTTGATTCTGGAACGAACGACTGACACGTCGTGAGAATCGGGGCTGCAGTGTCTTTTCCTTCGCTGCCTGTGAGTTCCAAAGCAACTCGCCGGGATCTGGTCCCAGACCCACTCTGCTGTCTGCCTGGGCCAGACAGACACTGCTCCTGCTTGGCAGCCAGGCGGAGCGCTCTGGCCTCGTTTCCGGCCAGCCCCAGAAAGCCGGGCAGCTGAGCTGCTCCCGCCAGCCTGGCGAGGCGGCTTTGCTTTTTCTGTCCCATCTGATTTCAAAAAAAGGAGTTACAGGAAAATGGACAAGAAACGGATGTGGTGGTGTAACCGGTGGGTCCCGGAGAACAAACGTTTAAGGTAGCAATGCAGGCAGACCGCATGCCCTAGGTCCTGCCCCGCACGTTCTAGCTCCCGTCTCTCCGTCTGTGTCCTGCCGTCCATGTATCCGACGCCAGTAGCCAGCTCTGCCGTGGGAGCAAGTCACGGCACGAAGCAGCAGCGGGCAGGGGACTTGGGAGAAAATGCACTTTCCCCCACTTCTGCCAGTGCAGCTCCTTGGAGCCCTTTGTGCAGAGGGTGAGTTTGGCACCGACATCCCGGATACATGCTCTGCCCCCGGGCTGCCAGCTTCCGCATCGCTCTGCTCCCCTTCCAACCGGCTACGCGTCCTCTCTAGGGGTCAGTCCGCACAGGGGTCCCCCGACTTCCCCGACAACACCCGCAGGGAGGGTCACCAAAGCCCCATCACCCCAAGGGTTTCATCCCCAGGAGGGGGGGCTGTAACCTGAGCCCCAGCACCCACACCGGCAGCGCCTGGGTCTGGCCCTGGCTGAAGGGGCTCTGGCTGCGGCCCCAGCAAGTCTAACGGCAGCCCTGGCCAGCCCACGAACAGGGCGGTGACTCGGGAAGTTAACCATTGTGGAACAGGCTAATCGTGTCACCAACAAAAATCTCTGTGGTTACAGGGTTACCCCCGACTGGCCCGGCTCTCGGGGAGGAGGCTTTGCGAGCGTAACCGACTTCATTATCTGCTGGACAGCCCGTCGTTCCCCCTTTGGTTCCAGCCCGCTCTGAGGACATGGGGAGTAAAACCTCCCTCCGGAGCAGGTACCGGAGTCGCTCAGGCCGGGACGAAGGCGTCGGGTTCCCTCCCAGCAAGTGAGATGGGAGAACGGGGAGACAGAACGGAACCCAAGGGAGAAACCTACCCGACAGCAGCTAGCAGCCAGGTCCAAAACCCGCCGGGGACATTCACTGATCATTCCCTGGAAAGCCGCCACGTCCAGGCCGTAATCCTGGTGAGAAGACGGACGAGATTCTGGGTCAATGGCAAGTGAGGGGGAGGCTGGGGCCTGGCGTGGGGGCAAAAGCACTGCACCCTCAGCAGAGAGAGGAGCGGGACTGGCACAACGGCAGGGCTCTGGAGACGGCCCCTTCCACGGGGCTGGCCCTGGAGAAGGAGCCTTCGGGATGTTTTCACCTCCCTCTATATTCACTTCCCAGTCCCCGAAGCGTGACCGCTCGTGGAAACGTGGCCTCCAGTGAGCAGGAGCAGACGTGGTGGGGCAGAGGCGGGTCACAAACCAAGCCCCCTGCCCTTCCTTCGTGCCTCCCCTAGAATTCCCTTCCCACCGTGCACACGGCTGGGGACCTCGCCTCTTTCCAGGCTCAGCCTGGTCTGAGTTTTTCCTTCTTTCGTTCACTTCTAAGTGGAACTGCTGGGGAAAGGCCATTCTCCTCCCCCCCTCCCCGCCGAGGGGGCGTCCAATAGCGCCACGTTGGTTTGAAATAGAAACGGGCTTTGGGGAATGGAGCATTTCTGCCTCGGCAGCTTGAAACAAACGACGGCCGCCGCGGCTGGAAAATGCAATCGCTGCCCCAATGGGGCCGTTCACACTACCAACGGGGGAATGCTGCGCTCGACGTGCCCGCCGAAACGTCACTCCCACGCGCAACGTCTCCGAGGGAGGGCCGAGGTGAAAACACAAGGCACCAAAACGGCACGTCGGACACACGGAGCCCATGTGATCACAGCTGATGATGCAGATGGCAACTTCGGGGCATCTTCTGACACAGAAAAAGCTCCATGTCCACAACCCGGCCACTGGAACGTTTCTAACGGGCTCGGGGCGGTGGGGGTGAGCGCTGTCAGGAAGCAAGCCAAGGCCCTGCAGAGCTAACGAGCTGCAGGCACCCACGAACTTCAGGGCATGCAGGACCCTGGGCTGTAGTGATAGCTACCTGCGTCCTGGGAAGCACTTCTGGGTCCGCAGGGATTCTGCCCAGGATTTCACACAGGACTATGCCAAAGGAGAACACATCCACCTGCAGGGGGTGGGAACAGAGTGAGGGGGCTCTGGGGCATATAGAAGTAAAGGATCAGAAAGCAGCGGGCAGGCGGCGACCCACGGCGAGAGAAACACGTCACAGTTTCTTGCCTCAGGGATGTCAAATCCCATTTAATCGGTTAACCATTCACATCCTGACTTGCCTTTCATCCCTGCTGCTCCCGCCTTTGAACACACCATGCTGGGTGCCGCCAGAGAGGCCGGCTTTCAGCTACGGCATGAAACCGGGACTCACTGCACATGGCCAAACACCCAGTGGCCTCAGGGTCCTTTCGTAGCTTCCACAGCCTAAGAGGCCACTGCGGCCACCTGATCTGATCTCCTGTGTAGCCAGGCCAGAGAACTTCCCCCTCCCCCAACCATCCCTAGAGCAGAGCTCAGAGAAACACCCCAACGACGGCAAGACCCGTGTGCTCAGCTAATCCCCACATGGATCGCCGCACTCGATTTCCTTCTTCTCGGCCCGTCCCTAACCCGTCGGTCAACGTCGCCGGATAGGACACCAGCTGCCACACTTCCACCAGAGCCGGGATGTGAACCAGCTACCTGGAAAGCATCAGCCACTTCTCAGGAGCAGCGCTCTGCTTGTGGCCTGCTGCAAGCGGAGGACTCTCCAACCCCGCAGAGCTGCTGGCTCCCAGCCCACCAGAGGGGGAGTTGGCAGCTTTGGGTGGGGCCAGAAGTGGCAGCGGGGGAGGG